GCAGAACATGGGAAGAAGGAAGGTGGCCTTGAGATACTGCCAGAGAGAATATGATTGGAAAGGGGTGGTGAAGGAAACCATTGATCCAGCCTGCAACTGTGGTGCTGTTGGAAGACACACCGTCAGCCTGGGGTCCAATGGAATCACCTCTCAGTCCACCATATGGACAACCCACTGTCATCTCAAGGCAGATTTCACCTTCATCTCACTGGATCCAGAGGCAAAAAGAAAAGAAAAGAAAAGAAAAGAAAAGAACCTCTCTCATTAGCCATCTCCATGACAAGATGCAGTTAGGAAAGACAAATTTGTGTCCCTCCTGTGGACAAAGCATCATGCTTCTTATTTAAATTTCCAAGTAATATTCTCTACAATATGATATTCAAGTCCAGTTACCACCTGCCTCACGGGTGGAGAAGCAACTCCTCATTCTGCCATTCAGACCAAGGCTGGGCATCCTCTCCCAATTAGATTTTTCCCTTCCTCTTCCTCCTCCATTCGCTCCATGCTCCACCATAGTTTACCATACAAACAATGCTTGCAACCATCAAAGGGGTACCATTTGTTAGTTCATCTGAAGAATATATAAAATAATTATATCTTCTGACTTGGAGCAGATTGAATTCATTAGCCATCCTCTTTCCAGGAGAGAACAGCATTCAGAAGCATTTAGACCAGATCCTTGGTCAGAACATCCGTGGAACCTCACTGCAAGTAAAGAGAGACGATTTTAATGGTGACACCAGAGACAGGAAGAGGAAGGTCTGCTAAGGCTGTGTGAGGTATAAAAACCCACTCCCATCTTCAATGTAACCGCTAATGTTGATAAATGACAAATTAGTAACCTAACTGGGAAACAAGACACTAGACAAAAAAAAAAAATCAAACCAACTGTTGGCCAATGTGGAGGCAGAACCAGATGTGCTCAACCTTCAAAACAGAGATCAAAGGAGACCCCAGGTGGGAAAACACAGTTGCTTAGGGACTCCAGGAAGGACTCTGGGTTCTGAAAGCCCAAGTCAGTGAACTTGAACTGACCCTTCACTGACACAAGTCACTCTTCTGTACAGACATGCTTTGATGGGAGTTGCTTGGGGACTCCAGGAATGACTCTGGGTTCTGAAAGCCCAAGTCAGTGAACTTGAATTGACCCTTCACTGACACAAGTCACTCTTCTGTACAGACATGCTTTGATGGTTTAAAATAACTCCAAATAACTTGCTACATTTGTGTCACCTAAATTTGGTACAAACATCAGTATGCCCTTGGCACCAACTGCCTCTGAGCTGGACAAGAAGCAGAAGAAGAAGCCTTAGAGCCATAAGCAGGGGGGCCTGGAGCCAGGAGGAGCAGTTCAAGACACCCACCCTCTCCAATTCACAAGAAACAGTATCCTAATGCCTGGAGTTTCCCCATTGGCTTGGAACACTGACTCTGCCCACTGCTCTGGCCTCCAGAGATCATTTGGAACCTGAGTGCATCCCTGAGGCCCCCAGTTTCCTGTCTATATTCGTACAAATCACCAATCGGTGGACATGCAGGGCAAGCCTGAAAGGCAGCATCTTTCAGTGTCCCTATCTCTCTTCTGGAGCATGGTCTCAATCCAGTTGCAGATAGAAGCCCTCAGAGAGTCCCCAGTGGACCCTGTACCCAGGGTGCAGCACAAGAGTCTTCAGGCTGGGATCTTGTCATCCCTGGCTTTTCTAGCAACTCGGGTGATCCCATTTTGCAACCAAAGTTTTAGGCACTGCTCTGAGGCATCGAGCCTGGCACTGCTCCACACTGAATCACTCAACCAGATTTTCTTTTTCAAAGAACTGCAGTTCGTCTTCTCTGAAGTCTTCAGGGTACCACCCATCTTGGGTCGAAGCACCCACAGCCCGTCCCTCACCCCACTGTACAGTAAGGAACAATCGCATCTCAAGCCTCACTTTGTCCTGCTCACCTTGATAGACTGCTACCGAGCCCCAGATCTACAAGTGACACCCAGTTTTGAAACATCCCCATATGGTCTTCCCTAATCCCAGGGAGGTGTTTCCAGACCCAGCGTGACATTCCCTAGTCGAAATCTCAATTTGTTCTTCAGTTGAAAAGTAAAACTACAGTCTCTGGTCCTTCTGTTTTACCATAGTTCCTCAGGTTTTGACAGTGTTTCAGAACATATACACAAATCCACATTTAAAATAACTTTGGTATCCATGTTAACAAAGGCAAAGCCTGAGTGGGATCTCGGGGCTGTGTTGACTGAGTTTAAAGAGGTGAGGACGAGAGGATGGAGAGAGGGGTAAAGGGAGAGGCAGAGGGAGCAGGGAAAGAGCATGTGGGGACTCTCGGCCACACGAGGTGTGCCTGGCAGTGTCTGGTAAGGAGCCCACTCCAGAGCACTAGGTCAGAAAGGAGTGTCACTCTCGTCCCTATGGGACTTCCTGCAGCTGGTGTGGAAAAAGACTAAATAGCTCTTTTTGGGGGTCTTTCCAGACACTGATTTTTTTTCTGCATGATCGTTGCAGATGGGGTTTTCATATCTGAACCTCCAAAACCTTACAACACACCCCAAAACTGTAATCATGTTTGGTGAGTGACTAAAGGAAGGAATTGGCTGATTTATTTGTTTAATGTAATAAATAGTCAACAGTGCTTCTATTCTTGTTCTAGGGAAAAAAGAAAAGTCAGCCCTCTGCCCGGTTTGTGAAATCATCCTCATGCCCCACTTGCAAAGATGGCACTGTCTGCCAGGAGTTATTTTTAAAGTTCTACTCCCTGGCTACTGAATTCCAGCTCAGACATCGAGTGAACTGGCTAAAAAAACACACACAGGAAGCTAAATTTAGCCCAGAGCACAGTTTGTTTCATCCCGAGATCCCACCCCGCCTCCCGCCACCACCAGCAAGCCTTCTTAAAAAGCATCCAATGACAGATTACAACAGGTTGGAAAACATCCTCCAGTTTAAAGTGAGGGGCACGATCAAGTTGCCTCACATTGCAGCTGAGCCACAGCCCTCTAGAAGTGGATCTGATCACCAGCCTCTTCAGGAGAGTAAGATGGTTCGGTGCCTGCATTCGGAGAAAGGGAGAACCAAAAACACTTAATGTTGATGCTGAAAGGGGGCGGGACTGTAGCTCATGGCCCCACCCCTCCAGCCGCATTATCTCTCACCAGTGAACCCTCGGCCTCTCTGCAGAGCCAGCATCCCTTATCTAGCTGTAGGCAGGCATCCCTGATAGACAGACAGACAGTCATACTCCCCTACATCTAGTATATCCTGAGGCCCTCCTCTTTGGGGCAACTGAATCCAAGCATCATAGTCATTGGGTCAGCCTGTGCACGCTCACCCGTGCCTGTGACTCAGGCTGTAACAAGAGCAAAGATGGGTATATTGTCTTTCTTGTCACTGTGACAAAATATCCATGAAAAGCAACCCAGCAAAGGAAGGGTTTATTGGGGCTCAAAGTTTGAAGGCACAGTCCACATGGCAGGGAAGGTACGATGGTCAAAGTGACTCTAGCTGTGGCTGTAGGAACATGAGGCAGGTGGCTGCTCATAGCTTGTCCCCAACCAGGCAGCAGAGAGAGATGAACACTGGTACTCAGTCAGCTTCCTCCTTTCCACACAGTCCAGGACTCCAGCCAATGACATGGTACTGCCCACACTAAACACAGGTTTTCCCACCTCAGTTAAACCTTTTGTGAAACACCCTTGTAGGCACACGCAAAGGTCTGTATCCATAGTGATTCTAAATCTAGTCAAGTGAACGATGAAAATTAACTATCCCAGTTCTGCCCCTTGTCACCTCGACACCCAAATATGTCATTTTAAATCATTAGATTCCACCCCTGAACCTAAAGCTTCATTTTCATCTCATGGTGCAAAGTGCATTTAGTTCCTTTCCAAAGTCTCCACAGTCTTTAATGGTCCAAATACTGTTCAAAAGTCCAGGGCTGAGTGGCTGGCTCAGTGGATAAAGCACCTGCAAAGACATGAGTTCAGATCCTCAGATGCCCACAGAAAAGCCAGGTAGGCATGAAGCCTGCATGCAATCCCGGTACTAAGAAAGCAGAGATGGTGGGGGGTAGGGGGGCAAGCTGGCTTCTTAGACCACCTAAATTAGCAAGCTATGGATTCAATTAGGGCCTCAATAGATGAAGTGGAGAGCTACCATTAACTTCAGGACTCTGCATACTTGTGCAGTCTTCAAGTACACACACACACACACACACACACACACACACACACACACACACACTGAGCAGTCCTGCCCCTGCCTCTTTCTCACCAAGCCTGTTATCCCAAGTGGATGCCACAATCCCAAAGTAACATCAGGCATGCACCCAGTGCCTCCTGAGGCCTTTCCTCTGAACTTAAGACCTTTATTTATCATTTCTAAATATGGTATTGTTTCCTTTTAATCTGAGAGAATATTTTTATCTGTTAAGCATTGTGGTCACTAAGGCCATGTTTACAAACTAGGCATTTAATCTGCACAAAGAAGTGACATCAGTGCAGTGTGAGTCTGGGGTCACCTGACCAAACTGTGAATAGGAGAAATGCTGCATCTGTCTGTCAGGTTAAATGAGTGTGGCTGGTGTCTATCTTTGACTCAATGTGTGCAGAACAGCACTAAGACAAGCAGAAGCATGTGTTTTTTTCTTTGTATCTAGCATCTATACAATTACAGGGATGAGTGAACAAGGTGACATCTCAGTGGTCACATGACCCTGGTCATATCAAGTAACCATTATCACATCAGAGCCCACAGGAGTTATAAATACACTTCCATGGGGCTCCAACTGGAGGACAATTGAGTAATGACAATAGAAATAGCCCCCTCTCCATAAGGCCATCTTCCTCTGCTAAAGAACTCATTCTGAAATCAGTTGCTCTGCAATGGAGACACAACCAGAGCCAGTAGGAAGAAAACTGCAGATCTTCCAGAAGATGAGCAAAGAGCCTCTGGTTAGAGCTGGGGCCCCCGAGCTTGAGTTCCATGCTGCATTGGTCGCAGGAGACCTGGATCATATTCGATTCCTCATGGACCAGTTCTTCCAGGATGCCAACGTGGTGTTTGAGATAAGTAACGGAGAGATGGAATGGCAGTTGACATCCTTGGCCACCTTTGGGCTCTCAGGTACCCTGGTTCCTCTAAAGCTCAGTCTTGCCTCTTTAAGCTTCGGCTGACATGCTGGGGACATGTGAATCCTGTGTGAAGGTTGAGTACACATACTCTGCCCTTCGAGAACATCTTTTACCAAAGGAGGTCTGTAAACAAATCTAGTGTGGTGGGTGACGGGCTATGAAAAGGAAAATGATGGGTGAGAAGTACCCATCTGGTGATGCTGGGTGTGTCTCTTGCCTTGAAAACAAAGCCTTGGTTTACTGTTGATATTGGCAGCTGAGGGAGCTACAGAAGACTAGACAGACCTCTAACATGAAGCTCTGTGCGGGGTCCTTCTATGAACCACTGAACACCACTGTAACTTGGCAGTGTGAGTGGCACCCTAAAACCCAAACAGCGTCAATGGGGGGAAGAACACTAAGTTCCCAGCAGACCCCCTTCTTGGAACCTAAAGAAACCTGAAAACAAGGAAGAAAGGGGAAATAATCCGTAGATCCTTGTGTTGTATGTCAGGGCACACTCCTGTCACTTGGATGTGGCTGCTATGTGCTGAGCCATCCAGATGCACCCAGGCTTTGGGGCGGTAGGCTGTACTAGACACAGAACTGCCATGCACTGCTGTGTTGAAATCCACCACAGCTCTGCCAGACTGTGGGAATTTGAGGATCTGTGGTGGGACACTGTGGCCAGACACAAGTCCTAACCTGGGAGCTCTAACAGGCTAAGAATGTGGAGAGGTGTTCTTTACCTTACACCAGAAGGGGGAACTGAACCCAAAACACTGCCCAAGAGCTATGCTGGATGGTGTCAACCCTAGTCTGAACTGCTCCGCCTCCTGCTGTGATCTTTCTGGGCCTCCTTCACCTCCTTCACCTGCCTCTAATCAAGAATGTCAGCTGCTTCAACGTTAAGCCATGTTTATTCTTCAAATCACATGCTACCCAACACTGGACTCACATGTGCTCAAATGGCAAGCCCCTCCCCTATCCTGGGGGGGTGTTAGTTTAACCCATCTTTTTCATGTTGTCAAAAATCTAAAATCTAGTTCCTTTTTTTCCCCTTTACTCTTCTGACCTCTATATTACACAGCCTTTCTAGAACCCATCTGCAGGATAGGACCCTAGACTATGATGACAACAGAGCATCAGGGAAATACCAGTACAGTTAGTCAGCCCAGGCTCAGTTAGGACCAGGAAAGCAGGGGCTCAGGACTACTTGGATTCCCTGATCTTTTGCCCAGTCACCTGACTCCCCAGAGCAGAAACTGTTGCTGGAGTTTCCTATGGCTATTTGGGCCCCAAATTAACACAGAGACTATACTAATTATGAAACTGTTAGCCAATGACTAGGGCTTCTTATTGGCTAGCTCTGTCTTATTATTAACCCATTTCCATTAATCTAAGTATTTCTACGTGGTCTTATCTTACTGGAGAAGGGTCTGGACCTGTTATTCCTTTGGTGGCTACATGGCAACGGTTTTGCAGTCTTCCTCTGCCTATCTTTCCCAGAATTCTCCTCATCTCCTCACCCCACCTATCTTCCTGCCTGGCCAGTCAGTGTTTTATTCATCAACCAATAAAAGAAACATATGTACAGAAGAACACCCCCATTAAGAAACAACCCCTGGAACATTGATTCCTGAGACAGCGTCTCTCTCTGGCCTGAGGCTTGTCAACTAGGCTGGGCTATGGGATCAGTGGGCCCAAGTGTCTTCCTGTCTCCATCTTCTCAGCACAGGAATTGCAAGCATGTGCCACCATACCCAGATTTTGTATGTCAGTTCTAGAGATCAAACCCAAATCCTTGTATTTTCATAGCAACCACTTTAGCAACTGAGCCATCTCCTGGACCCAGAAGTTAAGTTTTCTTGTTAGAGTGAAGGAACCTTATCAGTAGAGCCCAGTACCTAGGGAGTCTTGGCTCCTCAGGGTGGGCATACAGAGTGGGGGTGGGGGAGGCAGCAGAGCAGGCTGGGAACTTCAAAGACGGCTGGAAAAGTGAGTAGACTCTGCACACTGGGAAATGCACCAAAGCCGCTCTCCTAAAGGAAGACCCACCCCATCCCTGTAATCACACTGTCTTCCCTGGAAAAGAGAGTCCAAAACCAGGAGGCACCCCACATACACAATCCCTGAGCCTCTGACTACTGCATCTCCACACCAGTGATGAGAGCCCCCCCCCTCGATTCCCCACTGAGCAAACAGCAAGCTCAAGGCTGGGCCTTTGGGCCAAGCAGCAGGCTGGGATTCTCTGCCACATGCAGGTAGGTAATTAATGAGCATGGGCTTTCAAAACAGCCCAGCATGTGTCCCAGGAAGGAGGTGTCCTCAAAAGGGGTCTCCTGTACCGCTCATTACAGCCACCTTATCGATTCTTCCATCATTACAGAAAGCCTTCCTGCCATGTGAGTGTCTGTCTCCTTGATGCTATTCACAGGGGACACCTCCCCCCTCCCAGGGGTGCTCCTGGCCACTAACAACCTTGCCCCAGCCTTATGAAAGCAGAGAAGTGTTCAGAGGAGCCAAACACACAGCATCCATCAAGAAGGAACAGCCTACACACACACACACACACACACACACACACACACACACACACACACACACACACACACACGAATTGTGTATACTGTGTACAGCCTCATGAAAGCAACCTTCCATAGCAGCCACTTCCAAGAACCCAACTTCCTCCCTTGTCTTTTCTACAGAAAATCCTGATGATGAGGTTTGTTTTGCATGTTTCCTATTGATGATGAAGGGGTAGGAGAAGAAGGTTGGATTCTGGAAAATTCCACTGCCCACTCCTCTGTCAAGCTACCCCCAATCCAGAACCTAGAAGAGATCCCTTCTGCTGTGGGATTACATGCAATCATACATGCATACATACATACATACATACATACATACATACATACATACATACATCCTGTGCCATCCCATCCTTCCTCCTGGACCAGCCTTTAACCTTAAATCTTACTAGATTTCCAGTAGCCCACATCCGGGAAATCCCCTTATCTCTCAGTAATCTCAGTTGTAGCCCTGACCGCCTTTTCTCTTCTTCCTCCATGGATCCTGTCTTTTACTCCATGTGTCTCTCTCTGCTCTGTCTGGGGTATGCATCCTCTAATTATACTCTCAAGTGACTCTCGCACATGCCCACCTGATACTTACTTCTAAGAAGTGGTTTCACCCTCCAGCCTTAGCAAATCGCCTACTGCCCCACGGGTCCTTCCATCTACCCCAGGCTTACGCCATCTCCCCTCCCCTCCCAGGCCTCTGGACCCTGGAGTACAAGCGGGAGCTCACCACACCACTGTGCATCGCTGCGGCCCATGGCCACGAGTTCAGCGTGCGACACCTTCTCAGTCGCAACGCTGATCCGGATGCCAGCCCCGGAGGTCGTGCTGCCCTACACGAGGCCTGTCTCGGGGGCCATACCGCCTGCACCCAGCTCCTGCTGCAGCATGGGGCAGACCCAGATCTGCTCAGCGCGGAGGGCCTGGCACCCCTGCACCTGTGTCGCACACCCGCCTCTCTGGGGTAAGACGTGCCAGCACTGCCAACTAGCCTGAGGACCCAGATTGTGTGTGTATGGGGGGGGAGGTGGGGTCTCGGGCCTAGATCCAAGTGTGACCTTTGGCTGCATGTTTCTGAACTCGGGTCCATACTTGCTTCTTTCCCCAGCCCCTGATACCACTTCCCAGGCCGGGTACCTCTCTATCCCTAGTCCCCAAGCTAGAGATTTTCTAAATCTGGTTCCCAAGCCAGGATCTATCTATGTGCCCTAGTCCCCAAACCTGGGATTGTGACTTTAGTCCCCATGTCTGTCCCTAGGCTCCAGGCCCAGGACCTTAAGGCCCCACATGAGAGACCCTGGTCCTGGTCCCCAGGCTTGAGATTCTGACCTTAAATCCCAGACCAGTAATCCTGACACATAGCCCCAGGCTGGGATCTTTAGGGCCCAGGCTGGGATAGTGCCCAGGCTGGGATAGTGCCCAGGCCATGAACCCCGCCCCATGGGCCGCTGGACGGTCCCCAACCCCGCCCCTTCGGCGCGGCCCCGGGCGGGTTAATTAGCGCTTGATTGCGAGCGCGCGGGGCGCCACGCCGCGGTAATGAGCCTCTGATCACGGCCTGCAGACGCGGCGCTGAAGAATGCTAAAAGGCCACTGGCGGGGTTGGAAGCTGAAAAATTAGGGTTTTTAATGATAATTTTATGCAGAATAATTGTCACAGTGTGACATAAATGGTTAGCTCCTCGGGCGGGGGCTTCCGAGGCCCTCAAGGACTCCACCCGCCCGGGTTGCCCTGCCTAGGGCCGGGAAGAGCGAAGCCCCCCATCCCCCACCAACCCCCAACTCGCGACCTTGGTTGGTGCTGCTTTGGGTTTCCCTGTCTGCATTGTGTCGTTCCAACATCTTTTCGAATGTTCTAGCCCCTGCTCTTGCGTTATACTTGCTTGGCTGCTTTCTCTGTAATGGTGATAACATAAAATCACTCCATTTCGTACTCGGATCTTGCTGGGGTCGGCTACTCCCCATCCGCCCAAAGTTACAGGGGTTCTTCTGTCCCTAGAGGCAGCTGCAGCAAGCAAGCAGAAATGCTAGGGTCCAGAGTGGGGGATGCCAAGAATGCAAGAGGCCCAAGGCAGTAGTCCCACCCTATGAAGGACATCAGTAAGTCACACATGTTTAAAAAGTCCAACAACTTCTAAATTTTCATATTAATAGAACATACTATCTAGCTTCTTGCCCTCAACATAATTCTTCTGGGATACATCCATGCTGTCGTGGGTATCCCATAGTTCATTCCCTTTTCATGCTAAGTAGTATTCCACGGTGTAAGTGTACCACAGTGTTTTATCCACTCCTAACTGAAAGATGTTTCAGTTAGGGGGATAATGGGTAAGGCACTTCATTGGCATTTGTGAGGGCTCCGAGTTCAATCCCTTGTTATTGCAAAATGATGATGGTGGTGGTGGTGGTGATGATGATGATGATGATGAAAGACATTTACTTGTTTCCAATTGGGGGCCTATTAAAAATCAAATATCCCTGAACTTTGTGCCCTTTTATAAGCTTTTATCACTTTAGATAAACCTAGGATTTCAATAGCAATCTGATGAGATTAAGAAGGTAACTCTAAAGTTACTACCACTCTGGTTTGCAAAGTTATACATTGACATTCCCTTTGGCAGCACAGGCATTTGAATTGCAGACATGCATACAGACACAGAGAACTAAAACCACCATGGCTTCAATGGCTTCAGTGTGCATTTCCCCGATTATATTACTTCCCAATTATATTGAACTTATTCACAGATATTTAACCCATACTTATCTGCCATCTGTATTTCTTCTTGGGAGAGCTATCTGTTCAGATTTTTTGCCCAGATGTTCAGTTCTGCTTTTTTCATGTTAAACTTGGAGATTTCTTTATGTATTGAGGACGTGAGGCCCTTGCCACACCTGTGACTGGCAAGCACATCACCCAGACTCTACCTTCTATTTCCATCTCTTAAAGTCTGTGAAGAATAGAAGTTCTTCGTTTTGATAAAGTTCACTTTGTGAGTTTTACTCTTTTAGGATATGTGTTGGGCTATTTTATCTAAAACATCTTTGCCTGACTCAAGCCCACGAGGTTTTCTACATTTTATCTACAAACTTAAATCTTACAGTCCTCCATTAGAATCTGGATTTCATCTTGCCTAGACTGCAACCACCTCGAGTTATAACTTTGAGGCCAAGGTAGCCCCAGATACTTTGTCCTTCAGTTTCTCAGAAAACTGAATAGACAAAAGCACACTAACGGTGTGAGAGGTTCTGCACTCAGAACCTGGCTACAGAGAGTGGGCCTGGCTCTTTGATATCAGCCTAAGGTAAATTAGATCCATTCCCACTGTCCTGAACTCACAATGGTCCTGGTTAGTATCCAACTGCCTCTACGGTCATAGTTCACTTCATAGGTGTCCCAGCAATTGTGTACAGATGCAAAGCTACCTGTTCCCTGTCCCCTTTCTTCTGTCTCTCAGCACCATGGGACCTGCTATCATATGCCAAGACTGAGCTGATCCAGAAAAATCTATGACCCACTTTGAATTCATTTTTGAATATGTTGTGAGGGGTGATCAAAGTGACGTGTGTGTGTGTGTGTGTGTGTGTGTGTGTGTGTTTGCTTTTCCATATGGATATCAAAATGTTCCAGCAGGGGTCCCTCTGACTTCTTTTCCTCAGCATATTCACTCTGAAGCACACCCATACTGTTGTGTTCAGCCCATAGGCCATTCCTTTTTCATGCTGAGTAGTATTTATGAAATGCTACTTAGAAGGGTCCTCCAAGAGGATAGCAGGGTGGTCTACCAAAACTTAGTTTCAGAAGTGGATCAAACCCGCTGGTGTCAAAGCTCCTTCCCTTCTCCACTCGGTGGCCATTGCATATTGCTCAAAATCAATTAATCAAGGCTGAGTAGATGGCCCATTCAGGAAGTGCTTGCCTTGCAATTGGAGTTTCATCATCAGTGCTCATATTTAAGAGCCAGGCATGGTGGCATGCACTTGTTTTCTTTAGTTCTTTCTTTAATTTTTTTTGAAATTATAATTATGTAATTTCCTCCCTCCAAATGCTCCAGCATGCACTTATAATCCTGATGATTTGTAGTTTTCAGTGCATGGGGCTTGCAAATATTGTGTAAGATTTATTCCTGATTCATATGTATGCTAGTTGACTTGAGAGGGTATTGCTGTATAGCTCCAGATGGCTTCAAACTCATTATTTTCCTGCCTCTACTGTTTGAGAGCTGGTCACGCATGTTCACCATGTCCACTGCCCTAGTTAACTTTGTCACTACGTCATGGCCTGAGAAGGAACTCTCAATTGAGGGATTGCACAGAGCACATTGGCTAGCAGGCATGTCTGTGGATGATTGTTAATTGATGCAGGAGGGCTAAGTCCACTGTGGGCAGCAGCATCCCTAGGCAGCAGCATCCCTAGGCAGCAGCATCCCTAGGCAGGTGGTCCTGGTCTGCATAAGAGAGTCAGCCAAGCGTGACCCTGTGAGTGAGGCAGCAAGCAACAACCCTTTAAGGTTTCTGTTTCAAGTTCTTACTTGAGCTCCTTCCCTGACTTCCCTCCTAGATGGACTATGAACTGGAAGTGTAAACCAAATAAACCCTTTCCTACCATATGTTGCTTTTGGTCAGAGTGTTTTTATCACAGTAATAGAAAGGAAACTAGAACACCACTACAACCAGCTATTAACATTTCACAGTTTTGATGTCACTGTAGAAGGTATTTTTATTTCAATTTCTGATTTTGTGCAGCTACCAAACAAAACTGGTTGTTTTTTGTATGGTGACTTTGTAGCCTTCTGCCTCAATGGACTCACTGGTTTCTCTAAAGGCTTTCTGTAAGTTCCAGGGAGTTTCCAGGCAGACAATTATATCACCTACAAACAAGTCTACTTCTGCTTCCTTTGCAATCTAAATCCTCTTTCTCATACTTATTCCACTGCCTAGAATCTCCAGTGCAGTTCTGAGAGAAACGATGTAGAGTCGCTTTTCCTTGTTCCTTACCTTGGAGCACAACATTTAATGTCTTTCACCATTAAGAAGTTCTGTAGATTGCCTTTTTAAAAGACAAAGCACTCCTTTCTATTCTTAGGTTGTTGAAATTTGTATTATATAGAGACACTGAGATTTCTTAATTTTTATATATATGGAAATGATCATATGACCTTACTTTGTCTCTTGACAATGATTTTCAGATGTTACACCAACCGTGCATACCTGGGATTATTAACTACACTCAGGGATTATTATATGCAGATAGATAGATAGATAGATAGATAGATAGATAGATAGATAGATAGATAACCCATGGATGCATAGGTGGATGGACAGACAGATAGGTAGATAGATGGATGCATAGATAGATGGGTAGATATGTAATTGGTTTTCATTTGCTGTGATGTTTTTAATGCCTCCACTTATTTTCATGAGAGAGACTAGTCTATGGTTGTCTTACACTAGCTTTGTCTGAAATGAGCATCAATGATACAATCTAAGTAATGATGAATTAAGAAGCAGCCCCTTCTCCTCCCTCTTCTGTTTTCTAGATCTTAAATTGTCTCAGGCTTTTGGTGCAGTTCCCCACCAAAGCTATCTGGATGTGGTGTTTTCTTGGCAAGAGGTTTCTAACTATGAACACCAGTTCTTTCCTAAATAGAGATAGGTTGTTTCTCTTCTTCAGTAAGATTTCACAGAGATCTGTCACTTTCAGCTAAGTTGTCTAATTTGTTGGCATGAAGTTGACTCTTATTTCCTTTTACTGGCTGTGAATTCTGCATTCACACCTCTGTCCTTCATGACACTGGGTGTGTTCCACTCCCACCAGTTTTGCTTCAGATTTCATTGACCCTCTCTCATTCATGATGTTAGAGTTTGCCTGACCCCATCAGTTTTGTTTGTGATTTTATTAACCTTCTGTTTCATTTTTATGTCTCCTCTCTATTTTATTTTCCACTTTCCTTCTCTCTTGAATTG